AGAATCATCTATTCTCTTTCATTTCCAATCACTTTATTATAGCTTCATCTTTTTAAATCCTACTTTGGATCATTCAAACTTCTAGGAAGTACTTTGGATTACTGGAATTATGACTTCACTCAGAAATTCTTTTTTATAGGTTCAGAAGGCCTTATTTTATTGGTGCCTTCTTTCCTCATGCCTTTCAAATTCAGAGGTTACTGGTGTATGCTCTTAGAAGAATTATATTGGTATTAATTTTATTCTCATATCAGTGTAGTTTCATTATCTTATTGGCTATGGGGAGCGTAGTGATACAAGTAGGTAGATTCTTAGGGCATTGCTGGCTTTATTCCACCTCATTTTAAAGCTTTGAATTTCTTTCTTTCCTTTTTTGATATCTGAGAGCTTTCAAATAGGTTTTTGTGACTATTACTTACATGACTAAATTATGGGTAACTTGTTCAGATGTGGGTATTTGTTTAATACATCAAGTTGGAGACCAGCAGATGGCATAATGGTTATATTGCTGGACTCCCACGTAATTGACCACAGTTCAAGTCCTGAACCCAGTGGCTTAAATCTCACGCCAGGCGCGTGTGCGTGCGTGCCCAAGATCCCGAGAGGAGAATGGAGGAGAAGGGATTTCAGCATGGCCATCCTCCCTGGGGGGTGATTTCTTGCTTTCTGTCTCTCTGTCTCTCTGGCCAGTGCACACGCCCCTATTGCAAAAATCTCTCTTTAAAAAAAAAAAAAAAAAAGCTGAATTTCAGAAGCCACTGTTATCTTATATTTCCCAAAGAGTACATTTTACAATACAGAGAAAATATGTTCACTTTGCAGAACTGTGTTTTAAAATCTTATAAACAAAAGGAAAGATGGGGCCACTTCATCACACTTCCAACTGTAAGTGTTGAAACACTACAAAACACTAACTTCATTTGTTTACAATAACTATTGGTAAAAGACCTAGGATAAATTTTCAGTGCTATATGGTAAGAAAAAAATGTTTCTAAACAGTTTTAGATTAGAACAAGATTTAAGTGTGCACAAGAATTTTTTAATATTAAAACATTGTCATTACAAGCAATGTTCAACTTAATCTGTATTTCAACATTTATTTTATTCTAATTGCTCAACAGATTATTAATTTTTTTTGGAGGGCACGTGCACTCACCAGACAGACAGAGACAGAGAGACAGAAAGCAAGAAATCACCCCCCAGGGGGGATAGCCATGCTGCAATCCTTTCTCCTCCATTCTCCTCAGGATCTTGGGCACGCACACACACACACACACACGGCCAATGTGAGTTTAAGCCACCGGGTCTGAGACTCGAACCGTGGTCGACTACGTGGGAGTCCAGCGACATAGCCATTACGCTAACTGCTGGTCCCCCTCAACAGATTATTTTAGTATAAAACAGTAAATGTCTTTTCTTCTTAATGTGACCAGTAAAGCAACAGGATTAACTAAAACTAGTGATTTTTAGAGGAATTCAGTTAAACTTAGTAAAGGCCATGTGTGCTCACCAGAAAGAGACACAGAGAAAAGGAAAGTGAGAAAGGACCCCCCCCCCTTCCAGGGATGGGCACAACACGGTCACTTCTCCTTCAGAGGATAACATATCTCAATATTGCATTATTCTCTATAATATGATGACCAATCAATGAGAGTTAATCATTTAAATTTTTTAAAAACTCACCTTTTTTGCAAAGATTACAGTAAAGGCATGGCATTTTCACCCAAACCTATTGGCCTCAAGGTAGCTATCATTAAGTCAAGAAAGAAGGGCATGGAGACAGAAAAGCAAATAAATAAGTGAGATTTGAAAATGACATCTAGGCAAAACCTTGAATATGTTTACTGTCATGCAGGATTTACTGGAAACCAATACATCAGAAATTTTCTAAGCTTCTAAATGAATTGTATGCCATATAAACTACCCAGCCTGAAAAAGACTTAGACTATTTGAACAGTAAAGCAAACCATAAGAGTGTATATGCAGAAAATAGCTGTGACATTTGTATGGCCCTTAAGAATATACTCTCAAATGTCCTGTTCAAATGTGACCTTGGAGACAGGACATGAAGATCCTCCCAGAGGATAGACCACGGATCATGGACAAGGGCATTCCTCCCAGAGCAGAATCAGAATAACAAAGTAACTTCCCTACCCACAGGGGAAGAGATCTGGCCCTGCTTCCCCATTGACTGTGAGAAGGGAAGGGATAAACAGCTTGTCTTTTTAACCATGGGTCACAACAAGGAGCCCCATCCAGATATCATAAAGAAGATTCTTGCATCATCTGGACACTCTGAACTTTATGCTGCTACTGCACTGACTTTGCAAGGACTTGGGCTGCCTCTGTGCATCTTTGGTTGCCTCTCATAGGGAAAAAGTGAGTATTTCTATGTAATAGAGGAAGAACAAAATAGGTCTTCTGTGACCAGAAGGAAAGATTGGTCACTGGTTAGTTGGTCCCCGGAAGCCATTTCCTTTCTCTCCTGGGCACAAGACCTCACTACATTTTCACAAGGGAAGAGGGCAATTTAGTGACAACAAAGAATAGAAACAGTGCTACACTACAGTTCAAAATAGTGCCTAGTCATATGATAAGGATTAAGACCAGCCAATGAGCCAATATCTTACCTTACTGATTAGAAAAGACTGAAATCAAGTCTTATTTAATGAAAAAAAAAAAATCCCTTCATAAAAGACTCTGTATTAACTTTTTTTACATGTAATGTCAGCATTCTCTCTTACACAATACAGAAAAGAGAAAATGGGCAGTTGCCTTCCTAATACCAATACCATCAGCAAACAGTATTGACATGAAGGCAGCTAAGTGGGGAAGAGATACTGACAGTCTATAATGTTCCCATATTGGTACTGTAAGAGAGCCAGAGCTAAAGCACAGGGACATATCAGCATTATTCAATATAGAATAGTCAAGGCCAAAAGCAGAAAAGATCAATGTCTATAAAATATTAAAGTATACCAAATTTGTTCACTAAGATCTGGGGTATAATATAGATGCTTCAAGTTTAAGTAAGGATAAATAAAAAATACACATGTTTTTTGTAAGTAACTAAACTTTAGGTTTTTGTTAACTAATTATCAAAGGCAGACAAGAATACAATTGTAAATAAATTGGGCCATCTGTGGTGTGGTGGTGAAGGCAGCCAGATCCCACATAACCAAGCGTGCAGTTTAAATCCCAGTTAAAGGAGAAGGGATTGCAGCATGACCATCTCAATGTGGGGGAAGGGGTGCCTTCTACTTTCCCTCTCTCTGATGAGCACATGTGTCTTCTGGTCAAAATAAGAAAAAGAAAGAAATTATAAATAAATGCATGGATTTAAAGTTTAAACTCCATAAAGTTAGTTGATAACAGAGTTGTTTTTTTGTTTTTGGTTTTGGTTTTGGTTTTTTTTGTAGTAGTAGTCCCCAGTCTGTTAGATTCTTAAGTCTATTGGCCACTAAACCTATTACAAGGAAACCTTAAGAACACACACACACCAAGCCTTGCCTGGGGATTGTACAATGATACGCAAACACAGATACTTTACTGATGGGTGAGGGAACATTAGACAGACTGTCTGATTTATCAGGGACACATTCCCATGGCAAAAGCTGTCAGAGGGGAGAGAGGATTTTACTCCTAACAGGAGGCACATGATCAATGGAAGGGATCATGGTAGTACCTTGTGAAGTAAAAGAAGGAAGAACAGAGCCAGCAAGATGGCCTAAGGCTGTATGGGAAACAACAGAATCACTCAGATCATCAAGAAAATTGCTGTCATCTGAAAATTATGTATATGAGTTAATTTTTTGTGGGAAACAGTTAAGGGGATAAGCTTCTCTTTTTTGTTACATAAATTAATGCATTTATTGTAGGCTAGTGATATTCCAAATGTCTATGGAGCTTCTACTGGTCTTTCAATTCCTTCAGTCTTCTGATGGCAGACTTTACTGTGACAGCCGATGTGGTGGTGTAGGTCCAGGGCACACCTGTGGTGGTGTAGGTCCAGGCAACACCAGCTACCGTTTTCATGCAGGAACCACAGTGCCAGATCTCCACAGCCCATCTCTTCATCTTAGTTTTGCCACAGAAGAAGCAGGTGTACTTGGCGTGCTGGCTGATTTCAATTTTCTTCACCATTTTCCAGAGGGATACACCAAAGCGGGTCCCGTATTTACCAACGATGTCGACCTCCTTGGTGTGTTTAGCTATACTGCCGCCAACTAGGTCCGAGCCCACAGAGAGCAAGAGGATAAGTTTCTGGATATGACGTAGAGCTCATCCCAGACACCAAAAATTAATTAATTAATTAATCAATTAATGTGGGTAAAACGAGACATGAGGAATGAAAGAGAAGGAAGCTCAAAAAAACATGAGCAGACTTTGTCTGTAACAGGCCCGGAAAACAGAGTTTAAACCAAATTTAATCTGATCTGGAGGAAGACTTTGCATGATACCTTAGTTTCTTATATTAATTCACTTTACAATATTCCTAAATCCTTATGGGCTTTTGCCAGTTTTTGTTTCCTTGGTTGATGGAATAATGCAAAAAGAAAAAAAATTAATATTTTACATTTTATTTTTTGTCTGTTACAGGCCCGGAAAACAGAGTTTAAACCAAATTTAATCTGATCTGGAGGAAGACTTTGCATGATACGTTAGTTTCTTATATTAATTCACTTTACAATATTCCTAAATCCTTATGGGCTTTTGCCAGTTTTTGTTTCCTTGGTTGATGGAATAATGCAAAAAGAAAAAAAATTAATATTTTACATTTTATTTTTTAAGAACTATTTATTTTATTTATCTTTTTTCTTTTTTAATTTGCTACAGGGCATGTGTGCTCACCAGAGGAAGAGAGAGAAAAAGTGAAAAGGAAAGCCACCAGGTCCAGGACTCAAACTGCAGTTGGCCATATGGGAGTCCAGTGGCTTAACAACCACACCACCTGCAATCCCCATGTTTAACACTTTAAAAAAAAAAAAAAAAGCCTCATGGGGACACAGAATGACACAGCAGAGACACAACACTGCAAAGCTGACCTACATGGGAAGGTTCCAAGTTCCCATCAGGAGACCTTGTTGAATAATACACGGGGTGCACATGTGTCCACAATCCAGAGCAGACTATGAGGGTAGATTGCAACATGAGGGCTCTGTTGGGGGTGCCCCCCCACACTCCATCTTGCTCTGGAGAAAAAGAAAGGAGGGAGGGAAGAAAGGAACTTTTTAAAAAATCTTCATACTACAAAATTAAGAAGCACCATTTTCAAAGCATTAGTTTATTATAATTGTTGTCAAGAGCAAAATGCAGTTGTTAGTTTCATCAGTGAGAGAAGGTTGAGCTGAGTACTGCAGGCCACTGTCTCTTGCAAGAGCATCCATACACTACTGCATTGGCCTCTTTTGTTAGATAAAAAGAGTTCTAATCACAAAAAGGCCCAAAATAAGCGTAATGGTCAGAGCTTTCATCAAAGCTTCTGCTTTCATTTCCTAGATCTACCTCATTTAATCCTCACAACCCTATATGGAAGTTACATTGTTATCCCAATAAGAAGAAGAAACTGAGGCTAACCAACAGCACCCAACTAGTGTGTGCACATATCATATACATTACACTTTTAAATGAACGTTTCTCTTAACCCTTTCATATCCTCATAGTAATTTTATAATTTGTATTCTTTTCTTGTCTGGAATTTTTTTGGTAAAGAATTATTTTATTAAACTTTATTTATTTATTTATGTTTAATTTGACCAGAGAGGGACAGAAAGATAGAGATAGAAAGTGAGAAAGCAAGCTGCCAGGTCCAAGACTCGAACCACGGTCAGACATGTGGGAGTCCAGTGCCCTAAATCATCATGCCATCTGCCAGCCCCTCTTGTCTGGAATTTAATAGAGGTACTTTTTTAGTAGTAAATCCTTAAGAACATTTTATAGCAATTAGGGTTAACATTTCCTTTTGGATCTCTTATTTTTTATACTTAGTAATTGAAAGCTTATACTTAAATTAGACTTTTTCTTTAATAGACCATAGATTAGTTTATTTTTAACACCCATCATGCCATGAATTCATAAGGAATAGGCTCCAGTAGCTCAGGCTCCTTTCCATTGGTTCTCACAAAGTGTGCTTCTCTGGGTGGAGCAGGCTGATGCTTTAGTGGAACCCAGGTATCTTTCTTTGGCTTCCTTCTTTTTCTGGTCATTTTCCTTCACACGTTTTAGGAAGCTATCTCTGCTCTTAGAATGCTTAATAGGCTTAATACACACATTAATTATCTTGGCAAGAATCTTGCCCTTAACTTGTTTGTTCACAACAATGCCAACCGCATTCTGAGTAACATTGTAGACTCTTCCAGTTTTGCCATGGTAACATTTGTGGGGCACTCCTTTTTGAACAGTACCCATTCCTTTGATGTCTACAATATCACCTTTCTTGTAGATTCGCATATATGTCGCCAAAG